CTCTCTCTCTCTCTCTCTCTCTCTCTCTCTCTCTCTCTCTCTCTCTCTTTTATTTTTCCGCCGGTAGACGGAAATGAAAAGTATTAAGCGGACCGTGTTGTTGTTTCTCTCGTTGGTCGTAAGCAGGATACGCGTGGCAGCGAGAATTTCTTAGCCGTACTACGTTCTTGCTACGGCGTATGGAGTGTCGTTTAAAGGATAAAGCGAGAACCCGGCGTGAACCAGAATCGTGAAACATGTTTCTAAAGGAAACTGCACGCAATTTTCCCGAGTAGACGTTCTTATGTTAATGAGTTGAAAGAAAAGACGCGAGAACCGGGCGGAGCTTCTCTGGAATAAACGTGCGTCGCTTAGAAGAAGAAGAAGGAGAGAGAGAGCTAAAGAGAGAAGAAAGAAAAGAAAATAGAAAGAGAGAGAGAAGAGAGAGAAGGGAAAGAGTAGTCGAGTTGAAGCGATTATACACGCGCGCGCACGGTGTAACGACTTAAAACGAACTCCAAGCAGACCGTTTAATTCATCAAATTAATCCCCCAATTACACGAGAAATTGCGTTAGCTTAAAAAGTTTCCGAGAAAAGTGGCGAGGCCCCCTCCCTCTTGCTTAAAAGAATTTCATTTAAAAACCGATAACTCGATTTTGTACCCCGAACTTTGATCGCGTATTAAAAAAAAAAAAGAAAGAAAGAAAGTAGGTAACAAAAACGGATTTCGCTTATTAGCTCTTTAACTTACAATATAATGGTGTAAGAGAAGCGATACGACGATCGGGTTATACGCGACAAACGCTTTGCTAACTTCCTTGGCATTCGAACGTATATACAGATATATTGAACGTTGTTGACGATATTGAAAGTTTTGCTAACGTCGCGAAAAATGATTTTATAAATGGTTTAAATAGCGATAGTGGTGATATTTTACTTGCTCTACAACGCGGGAGTGAAAAATATCAAGCGATCAAATATTTGTAAATTTTATCAAGATATTTATTTTATGATTTTATTACTCGCTTCGAGATAATAAATTTTTCTTGTTCAACGATCATTATTTATTAAACATCTTGCAAAATAAAATTAAATTATAAATTTATACACGTGAATTCATATATCGAAAGACATGTGTGATTTGAACAACTTCGAGCGCAACAGTCGAAGCGTGAAATGGCTCGACGCGTGACCGATATTGTTGATGTTTATAGCGCGCGCTGTTGGAACTTAATTTTTTGCATTCGTATATAGTCGCCATCCTACCCATTTTATTATTATACATTTTATATAGTCTCTATAATAATATAATTCTAGGCACTCTTGTGTGATTGGTAATCTTCTTAAATATAAATACGAGTGCAAATGGTTAAACGGTAAGGCAAGGGATATTTAGTTTACTCTGCTGACTCTTCGAGTCTCTCCTACTACGGAAAGACACCGTCCTTAAAAAATTACCCGCGTCGCTCTTTTGGAGGACGTGCCTGGGCGCCCCGTTCACGTGGAAACCGACTACAAGTCCGGAATGTAAATTTTAATTAAACACGTCTTTTAATATAGAGAAGCGTCAGAGATATTTCAGTAAAAGTAATTTAATTAATAGGGGAGAGGGGGAGGGGGGCGATAAAACGTCTGAGCACAGGAAAATTATACAGCGTGGAAAAGAATAAAACCATTTTTAAAGCGAGGCAACGTTTCTCCGGATTACCGGAGATGAAAAACTTATCATCCGCGTTTATCCGCGCGATGTATCCTCGATATCTCGATTCGAGAATAGTTTTGGCGACGAGCGCTAGAGTTCGTTTAAAAAAAATTTAATTCCCAATAAAAATTTTAAAAGAAAAAGTTATTCGCCAACTTTTCTCCAAGATTAGATTAACGACGAATGAAAATTTTCGCCGATTTTCAATCCCGTTCAAATCGGTCGGTATAATTGAAAAGTTCGTTGCACGATTGATCGATCGATTCGATTCGATAACATATTCCCTTTCGTTGTTTCCTCAAGATGGCGACGACAAACTTGACAGACCAATCGAAATTATAAAAGAAAATTTGGAAACGTAACGAATTTCAGAATTGTATCCATAAATTGGCAATAATATGATAACGGATAACGCGATAAACGAATGCGTTTGTCCGCGATGCCTTCATTCGACGTGTCCCCTCCCCAACGCGGAACCGCCGTACGATGAAATCACGCAAGAAATAAACAATAATTTCATATCCGTCAAGGTGCCGAAATGCAAAAGGAAATTTGAGAAGGAGGACCAGGAACTGGAAGAAAAATTGAGTTTTGACTTTAATTGCGCCGATGCCGAAGGTAAAACGCGTAATATCCCCTTTTTTTTAAACGAAGAAAAATAAACGACGCACATACACGCACACAGGTGAAAAATGCAAAACTGGTTGCACCAAAGTTCACGTGATACCGAACGAGTACGCCCCACTGAAAAAGCCCGAGGAAGAGATGTTCTCGTTGAAGTCTATAAGACACATTATACCCAACGGATTGGAAAACACTGTCGAAATCGAATACAAGGGAGCACGAAATTACAATCCGTTGCCCGAACCCGGACCACCACCGCCCATAATTGTACCAAGGCAGCGTATCAAGAAGAAGAAGGGCAAGGGTAAGAGCAAGTAAGATTCGAGAGAAATTGGCAATTGTATGGCCAATGCAAAGTTTCAACGATATCTGTGGCTCAATTTGTGGCGAAAGAAAGAAAGGGAGAGGAAGACAGAGAAGGACAGGTAAGGAAGAGTTCTGTTTGATCGATCAAGTAAGATCGTCCCGCGACGCGACGCGAAACGAAATATTTGACGATTATTCGCGGTCTGGTTTTCAGGGAAATAGCAGAGGGAAATACGTTGGGCAGAAAATCGGCCCTCTTTAGGGATTTACGAGTGACACGGAACTAAAACGTTCGCCACTTTGTCGTAAACGCGGGGGCAGAACCAAGAGAGAGAGAGAGAGAGAGCGAGCGAATAATGGAACGATAAATCATTGGCATTATATTCTTGCGCATCTTGGGGGAGAGAGAACGATAAATCATATCGCGCACCGAAGGCATACGGACGCGTCGGTATTAAACGTTCTCGGGGCCATTGTCTTCCCACTCGGTAACAGGCGTCTTTTTAAATCCTGCCTTACGTCCGATTCCGTTTCAATGAATTCGTTACGTTCGCCCAACATTCTCGACTTTCAGCTAGACTGGACGACACGGTACGCGTACAAGTTGAAAGCAAACGATCGAAAAAAAAAAAAAAAAAGAAAACGAAAAGGGAGAAAAGCTTGTAAATCTCGCGCTCAATTTCTTTCTCGCAGACAACTAAGATTAATAACTAAGAATAAATTTCACGATGCCTCGAACTCGTGAGTTCATTTACGATCCAAGTGTTCTTACGGAGCGGAGGGGGGAAGGAAGATTATCGTTTCCATGGAGACGAATATTTCCATGGAGCGAGGCGATTACGAGGGACATAAAAAGGGATGGAAATTCATCCATCGATCAAGACGTCGAAAGATCGCGTGGATTCTCTTTTTCAATGGTTTCGAAAACATACCGGGAATGAGCGGGGAAAAAAGAGCGGAATGCGTTCGCGCGAAAGCTCGGGGAGAGATACAATGGCGCGTTCGCGTGTTGTTGCGCAAATTTCCAGCGAATTTCCAAAGAGACGCGTGGGACGTGTATACACGCACAATTGACGGAAGCAAAATTTTATCACGGCACGTATCGAATGTGCGCCGCGTGAATAAAACACACACTTTCCAAAACCCACGCCACGGGTTGCATCAACCCGTGGATCGGAATAAAAATATTTGCATGCTCCTCGACGAGCTTCGCGTTTCGTTTAATGAAAATGTTCCAAAACCCCCGTAATTTATTCTCTATCGAGAGGGAGGGAGGGGGAGGGAGAGAGAGAGAGAGAG